ATCAATCGATTTCTCAATGATGATCTAGATAGGATCAGTTGGTGATTTTAAACTTGCAGTGTCGATTGATATGTTAAGCCCATATAACTTCTGGACAGGTCGATTTATCCATTCTTGAGTCACACTTCGATCTCATTAATTATTAACTTATCAATCTTGTCTGTTTTTATATGAGCGTATATGTGTACACTTCATATCCTACACATCACATGTCCGTACTTTGTTTTTGTGTGACCATAAATATCGATTAGCCCTTGACCAAAGGAAATTGGCTCACGTGCCTTCCCCAATGGCGCGTCACTGCGCTTCACTCTCTTCTATTTGCTTCGTCCCTCTGATTACCTGTCTAGATCAATGAGTGTACAAAATATATGTACTCGAAACCTATCCTCGTATTTAGCTTATTTAATTCCATTATTCACTAACGCGATTTAAGTCGATGATTATATACGAGGATAGGCGATATAAAGATTTCAATAACAATCATTCGTATGATCCAAATGGAGTCAGATCCCGGGCCACAAACTACGGAAGTTAGTTATTCACTTCTTAATCGGTTCTCTATTACATATAAGTTGATTGTATATAAACTATGATTCTTTACATATGGCTCATTACTTTCTGGTAATTAATGCCCATAAACATATGAATTTCTGAATCAGGATGACACTAGGACAATGGAAAGTGAATCTGACTTCTCATTTCATTTTCTGATTGGACACTGGGTTAGATAGATCTCATGAACCAATAAGAATTACGGTATTGGTCGTTTCTTCATGGTCACTGAGTGACTGGCCTAGAGAAGCTTGTTGGTTCATTAAGCAAAACAAAGAATAATTCAATAAGTTGATGCAATAATCAACTACTTTCGTAATCAAGTGCACAATCACACATGTTATAAGAAAAAACGAAACACGTTTTTGGAAGATACATGGACTACGAATGAAATACCATAAACATTACCAATTTCATCATTATTCACAATTTTCTCTTTGTTTAACTGTCTTTTTAATGTTTTACATCAGTCAACAATCGACAATTTTATTCATACTCCCTTACCACAAGGACTCGTCTACACAAAAACAGATGACATTCCTTACAACGAGGGTTTACTATTTCAGGGTGGTTTTAACTAAGTATTGATATATTTCAATACTATAATGTACCCATACGCTTTTGTAAAACGTTTAAAACCTGCTTTGACGCTAAATTTCATAAGATTCAATACGAAATTCTGAAATGTATAGATGCAGTTCGATTTCGTTCTTGAAACAAGAAGAAAATACACTTGGTATTGTTTGGCTTGTATCTTTCCATTGAGGTTTAAGACTGCAAATGATCAGTCGGTTATTGACATATGTGCATATTGTGCGTATGCCTCGATATTACCTTAATTCACAAGCTATTTGTAAGCCATGATGGATGCAGGTACATCGAACTGACGAGTCCCAAATGGGACGAAACGCGCGTCCTGGATTTCACTGCTAGCCACTATCCATCATTACTTACAAGAAGAAAATACGTTGGAATTCATGAAGTAAGTGTATTATTTGGTGTACAAATGATCAAAGACTATTACAGTTGATGGTGAATGTCAGACAATAACACTGGTTATATAGACATATGTGTGTTCCTTGAGTAGGCGTAAGTTAAACTAATATTCCTTACTATAGTACTAAATGAAAAATTTATTATATTTCCATTTGATTATACAATAAGGTGAGTGAGTACAAACATATTACGTTCTTGTACTTACATACTGTCTGGAGGTCGAAGGGTAAGTGAAAGAATATAAACTAGGCATATGATTGAAGTCACTCTATTATCTATTCAAGGTTTCAGCCTACATATCCATCCCTAGGATAGAAGAACAACCATCACTACTCGGTTTAGTTTTATTATCTGTGTGATGCATCAAGTGTACTGTAAGCAGTGTATCACATAACTGGACGGTACCGTAGAATAAGACAATCGTCATGATTGCGTTTTCGTAATGTATTGCGATTAAATATAAATATAATGCTCGTCTACATGAAATATACCCAATCTTCGTTTTTTGGTAACTTTACAGTTACAGTTACTACTATCCTTCCATTTCGTTTGTTTATTATCTTCATTGGTGTTACAATTAGTTACTTTACTCTGAAAAAGAATATGTCCAGTATCCACAATCAGAAAATGGTTTCTAAAAATTTTAGTGTTATTAAGATAATTTATGTAAAACAAAATAAATTCAACGACTTCACAACGTTACGCTGACCGAAACCGAGACATGGATCCAGCCAGTATGATGATCAATGGGTAAATCTGATTAAGGTGTACAGTCAACGAGCCAATCATCGAGAAAGGGTTGAGAGTAGGGACATAAGTGATATATTTGTGAAAAAAGTGATATTGAGTTCTGTAAGGAGTGTGTGGGCGATTGTCACTCCCAGGTTGACCACACCATGAAACGATACTTCATCTTGAGGTACCTGAAGCGTTATTAGTAGGTCTTGGAGACGGGGGGAGTATGATGCAGAGACTACTTGAAACTAGTCACCTTTTGGGAGTTCTCTTGTAAAATTCCGTACTTTAGAGACCATGATGTTTGGAAAGAGAATCCATAAAATAAGGTGAGGCGTTATTTTTAACCTCCTCTACAGCTGAAACCTAAGTGCTGGTTGTTTGAAAGAAAGAGCTTACTCTCATAACACTTCATGTATAGTCAGTAGTATAATGTCTTGTTATATCCGCGTCACATATCACTTATAGTTGAAAAAACGAGAAACCACTGCAATTCCCACAATGTGAAATAAAAACACCAAGACTGGTACACGTGGAGATTTATTAAACCCAAAATACGACAATCCTAGTCGACAATGCACTCATTTATAAAACGATTGGACGGTCAATTTAAATATTAAATAGGATAAAATCACATATATCGTAAATAATCAAAGTTATAATGTTATGACTTTTGCCCCTGTCAATTATCACGTGATAAAATCATCTATCATAATACCGGCTTATATGACCTTGTTCCCGTGCTAAACCAATGACACATCAACTAGCACTGGTAGCCTTGAGTCAACTCTGAATCCTTATTGGTCCTCAAAATAGTGACTTCTCACCTAGCTCTGCCCTTTAAATCCAGAACACAATCTCAGCCTCCACTGTATGAATCGTATATTTCAGATAATACGTAGTTTATATACAAGCAGATCAGATCGCATCACATCATAAAATGGAAAATATTGATTATAGAGGATCAAGCCAAAAGTGGTTGTATCAGAAACCTTAGCTAATAAATTGAGAATATCTCAAGGATAGTAAATCGTATAACAGCAGACAATAAGTCAAATGAAAGCTTATAATAAGAGGAATATGAAGATATATTTTCTGTATTATTATTATTATTTATTATTACTATAAGTTCACCCCTAAATCTTGAACTTCAGTATTGGATTTCAGACTTTTGATAAACTTGATTTCACGGGTAATTTTTCGAAATATATTTTTTATGTTTACTTTTTTTCTTACTATCACTGACGCTATTATTTTGTCTTTCTTCATTTATTGGTCTTATGAATTCCCTTTCATTATACTAAAGGAGGATTGTGACACCATGAAGTGGTTCGCATGTGCCACTGAGTTTACGCACAGTACAAGTAGGATAAGCTGACACTATATAATTGTTATTCATTAAGTTCATAAAGTAAAAGATGGATCCCTTCAATTGATCACTGATACTTGCCTGTGTAGATGTAACGTCCATTATAACTAATCCTAACCAGACATATAAACTATTTTATCTATTTACTTTTGTTTTAGAGTATCTCATGTCCATCAATCTGCTCAACAAATAACTAACCTGATGCTATGAAAAAATTAAGTTATGAACGACGATCGACACCCCCCTCTCCCTATTTTAAAGCCCGACCGTTGTTGCTACCTTGACATGGTGGTCGGGCTTGCCTATCGTGATGAAGCAACCGAGCTATACTGACTGGAACAACTGTTCCTCAAGGTCCTACCATGTCAGACAGGTCGGTTGAAGAGCGATAAGACTAAAAGCAACAAACCCAAGGTCCGAAGGCGAAGTCGTACTGCTGACTGTAGAGAGGTGTGACCGCAGTAAGGTGTTTCCCTCGGACAACCAGCATGACAGCGATGCTGCCTTCCTACAAGGAGGGGTGGGATTAGAAAAGGTCGACCCTAAAAATTCACACCTCGCCTTATCCCACGGATATCGATCTACGGCGGTAAGGTTTCAACAAGTACGGAGCTAACGCAAAAATTACCCATAAAAAGGTCGTGTCTGACGGACCTCAAGCAGTTGTCCCATGGGCACTGTGGTCACGCTCCCAGGTCACTAAGACCATCTCTAATCCAATTTCCTTTTCAAGTACCTCCAGAACCCTTCCACGGTGTGGACAACCGGGAAGTGATAACCGCCCTCATACCTCTAACAGCACTCAAGACCACTCTATTCCTAATCAACCTCCGTCTATTTTAAAGAGAACATCGAACATTTTCGATTATCAATTTACTATCCAATTGATTATTCATACATTAAATTCAAGAGAAACATCTTTAAAAGTATGAAAATCTACAACATGTAAACATTCACCTTAAACTAATGATACCTGTATCGTTTATCATAAAAAAACATTACTCTTTAGAATAATTGAAAGACAGACAAGACAAGTATATTTATCTGTATAGTACTCTTACATTATATTGCACAAATGAAGTAGATTGTAAAATAAATTCATACCTAAATAATGTCATGATCCACACATACACACATACATACATAGATACATAATATAATGATTTCATATATATATATTAATGATAATGGATAATTGGTGATAGCGGTGATAATGATGAAGAGATTAAAGAAAAGTATATCAATATAATATATAAATAAATAAAAAGTAAGATTATGTATCACAATAGCTTTCTTTAAGAAAAATAAATAAACAAATAAAATGATCACTAATAATCAATAATAATCAATTTGTGCTCTCTTCAATCAATAATGGGTTATCATCTATTGATGAATAATAATTGATTGGTTCATCTAAATAACATATCATATTTGGTGTTTGTAATTCAGTAAAATATGATGGTTGTGAAGTATCATTATCTAAATCCAAATATTGTTTTTCATTATTACTATTATTGTTGTTGTTGTTGTTGTCTACCTCGGACTCGTCATTGTCATGACTGATATTATCAGTAGTATTAGTAGTAGTATTAATATTGTCATCAATAAACTGGAAAAGAATTTTTAAAGAAAAAACATAATATAACACTTGGTAATAAATGAACTAAGCAGCTTTTTCATCCTAAGATGAAACTACACAACAATGCGTATTCATAATCCCAACGAACTCTAAGTCTCACAGTGAGCACTCAAACTTTGGATTACTGAGTTGAGATATTTAACTTCAATCGGTTCTCAATATTCAGCGATTATTTTCTAATGTCTTTGGTGGGTACCTCTGTTACACCCGATAAGGTTGATCACGGTTTCTCACTAGAACCCCGAGAATCACCTCCTGAAACTACTTCCATACTAGAACGAAATAAATATCTAGTGATTTATGATTTCCAATGGTCAACCAACTTAAGTCAGACAGTGATATAATAAATCAAACGCCGAATACATTACAACTGGGATGGCAGGTTATGAAGAGCAATATTAGGTATAACATTTAGAAATATATGCAAGTAGTCACCCTTTGACGCTGAATTAGGTTACCTAATATCTCAGGTTAAACCTGTTAGGGATGTCCTAGAAATATGGTTTGTTTTATTTCACACAAACTGAATCTTATAACTCGAAGAGAAGAAAAAACTCGCGATAGACCGACCATTTACACTCACTAATATACAACGTTTGCCTTCCTGTCGTTGGTTATCCCATCAACCTAACGCTAAAATTCTTTTATTTTGCAAGGCTAAAGATGAACTATATACAGAACTGTATCAAGATCTTAAACTCTTGTGGAGAGAGAAAAAAGCTCTCTCCACGACAAAAGATCAATTTACATCAGTTAATGTCCACACAGAACAGTTGTGATTAAATTGTGTGATATCGTACATCCTTATAATATGTAATTGTTATATCAATCGTAACGCAATGATCTGATTTATTACCTGTCTGAATATATGACATCAAAAAACATAAATTTAACTCAACTACAAAAAAGGAACTTAATGATTGCAGTGAATAGTAGTATTAACTACTAAGCTTCCATAAAAACAAGCCTTTCAAAGCTACTAAAAGACACGAGGGACTCTCTTGGAATAACTCAGTTTTAGGTGTGGCAAAAGGCACTGGTGACACCAAAAAGCAATCATGAATTACCGTAAACTGAGTAGAATACGATTTCATGGTTACGTGAGCAAACGAAATATCAGTGAAAGTTTGCTGAGGAAATGACTACATGGAAGATAGCGGCTCCTCGATTTTTTTGCGAAATCCAAAGCGTAGTGAAAAATAGTTCTATGTAAGAACTAAGCAAAATCTATCAATATTTAGTAATTTAGACGCTTAAAATAAACAAATATGGAAATGGTGACTATTAATTATGAATTAGTTAGGGTGTATTAAATATTCTTGATATTTGAAATAAAGAACTGTATGACTATTTATCTGCACCGCTAAAATGCATCCTTCTATTCTATTTCCAATGACTAGACCAAGACCTAAATCTAACACCTGAACTTAAACAGAACTCGTAACCCAAACTTGAACTTGAAATGTTAATCCCAACTTCATTGTTTTTCGAGCTTTTACATGATCAAATATTCATTTATATAACCTGTATTTTGATTGGCTAGAAATTGGCTTTATTTTCTGAAAGTCATTTTAAAGATCACTGAAGATTACCGGCAACGTAATCTGTCTCAAAAAAGGTAAAATTGATGGGAAAAAGTGTAAAATGTTCATAATAATAATAAATCCCAGATATCAACTATACTTAATAATTAGTAGCAAATAGTCTACGTATAACCGCCTACTCTAATTCAGATTATTTGACAATTCCTAAGACCTATAAAAGGTGTGTAACTCTTAAAGTATACCACACCTTCAACCAAATAAATAAATATGATATTTGAATTCTGTAACTCAATAGTAATTAGCAAACTATCCAATCATTGTTGCATAGAATCTAAGTGAATATGAATTGATTGTGGACGCCAGAAAAAACTTTCTTATCATATTCAATGATAATTTCCTTGTGAATAAATTACTTTTTTTAATTCACGTATATAAAGAAAAGATGGATAGTGTCTTCCAGTGGAATACAGGACGCGCGCTCCGTCCTATTTGGGACTCGTCAGCTGGATACACCTGCACCCCAGAGTTGATGTCCACTCCGGGACTAGAACCCAGTACCGTTTGCTTCAGACGCCATTGCATTATCCACTTAGCTACTGAGTCCCGATAGCTACCTGTAATGGGGTGAAGTTTAAATTCACTTGGTGTTTTTTTACTTGTATCCTCCAATTGCTATTTAGGACTGCAATTGATCAGTCTCATGTTGGTATATGTGCATCCTGTGTGGATTGCCTCGATATAGCCTTAAGTCACAAGCTATTTAAGCAACGACAGATAGTGGCTAGCAGTGGAATCCAGGACGCGCGCTTCGTCCTATTTGAGACTCGTCAGCTCGATGATAATGATAAAGTAGAATAAGAAATAATAGTCCATATAATTGATATTCAATGTCTACAATGTAACCTTAGTTGATTTGGAAATTTCATTGATCAAAGTAATATGACTTAATGAGAGAGAAAAAACAGACAGGAGAAGAACATACCAATCTTATGTGTCATGTTTGATACAAAAATAGACTATAAGGGAAAAAAACAATCATATAACATTAATCAATAACAATGTCTGATTACATTTTGTTCATATTTAGGATCGAAATTGACACTTTAAACAGAAATAATCTATTCGTTTTTAGACAATAAAAGTATTAGGAATCGCAAATTTCAACACACAATTAGTATTCTTCTTTATAAAAATATAAATTTGAAAGAAATTGACTAAGAGATGGTTATAGGCAATGTATATCATGCCACACCTCATATTAAAGAAGACAAAGATTGGATATGCATCTTTGCCATTTAGACTAGTTCTGTTTTATGTCACTCAATATATTCAACCAGTAGTGATAATAATCGTCAAGAATCTAACCAGGTAATCAATATCTACCTACATGACTCAATTCAACAGTTGATTAGGAGAAGAAATCTCTATGAATCTGTAGGATTGATTTATTTATAATAGTGTAATCTAGGAAGCTTGCTTCGTTTTATTTGAGACGCATCGACTGAATTTGCTTGATCCTAGTGTTGATTTTAAAACCAGGACGCGGACCTAATAATTCCCACTTCAGATAGCTAACGCATTATTCACTGAGCTATTGAGTCCAGACAACTATTCATTTGTGCAATGAGTATGATACATAAATTTTTGTTAAAAAGAATGGAGTTCATGTACATCCAGCTAACAAGACCTGAAAATGACAAAACATGGGTTTTGGATTACATTGATGACCACAAGTTCATCAATTTTATAAGAACTACTGAAAAATGACTATATTGAGGGAACCCGCATAGGATGCACACATCATAACAAAGATTGATTCAAGTCCAGTCAAGATTACCAAAAAAATGATAGTTCGAATCCTTTCTAATTTATGGATATATATTAAGGAGATGAATAATATGACTTGTTTCTGTAATCAGCTTTAAGCTAAATTATTTGTGCAGACTAGTGATAATAGCTACCCAGTTACCCAAACTGCCAAATGCTTCCGGATCACTAAGCTACTGCCACTCCACATCCTGATTAAATTAGAAGAATACTTGGTTGTCTAAGGTCAGTTCGTGATGTAGACGATAAAATTTAACAATCTTCACAAACTCTTATTCTTCATTCGTGAAGTGCAAACGAAATATCAGGAGAGAAATCCGTGTAAATCGACAAATCGTCTACTGCCTGGAACACATCACAATTTCTTTAAAATTAATCTCTGTTGATAAATTCCTAATATATCACCTAATATCACCTAATTTACGCTGTAATGATTTAGACTATCTCATTATTGATGGTAAGATTTGAAATTATAATCAGTCTCATTAACATATACGCATCCTAAGCGAATTAATCCGATTTAGCCGTTATGTCACAAGCACTTTTAAGCAAATAAATTAAAATTCATTTCTATTTCACAAGCCACCAGCACTCTGAGCTCAATAGATAAATGGATAAAGCGTTGGTATTCAAAACGAAAGGTACTGGGTTCGAGTTCCGGAGTGGAAATGAACTCAAGAGTGCACGATTTGTAGAACAGTGCTCAAGCCTCTACTTTGTACATGTCCAATACTTCAAGTAAATTAGTTCCACTGAGTCAGAAACAACGTAGAACTTCGTACGTACGTACATCAGTTCGAGTTGCCATACCACATAAGCACACAGATACAATTGTTAATTCAAATCCCGTAGTAGCAGAGATAGTAAAAGTATAAGCAGTAATCTGAAAGATTAGGGTTTGAAGATGTTATTCAAAGAGTATAATATAGTGAAATAAATTTGGAAAGAGGAAAAAAGACATGAAGAATTCAGAAGATTGGAATTTAGGAGAACACAAAGAGTGGATGAGCCTGCACCATTACAAACGATTTTGAGCCATGTCATTCAAGGTCTCTAACCATCGGTTGTTATCATCTCGCGGATCCCAACTAGATAGTCTACACCTACCAATATGACTTAGTCCACTTGTCAGTGACTTCATGGATTTGTGCCATATTTTGGTCTGGATATCATTATATCTAAACATAGAACTACCCACAAGCATATAGATATACATACAGACACATAAGTTTGATCAACTTTAACATGAAATAAGAATAAATGAATATTCAATTTGAGAAGAAAACAAAACAAGCATAGAAAATAGATCAATAAACAAATAAGTAGTATGATACATTTAAGATAAAAATAATAATAATAAATACTAAGATACCTCTAAAATTTGACTTAATGGACTTGAATTAAATTCTTTTGATAATTGTTGATCTGTAGTAGTATTCATTGATGATGAATATGATAAATTATTTGGTGAATAAATAAATTGTAATGATTGATAATTGGATTCCAATAATGGTGAATTTGTGTGCGTTTGAACTGTTCACAAGATTTTGTTTTATTTTCAATAAATGAAAAAGAAAAGAAAGAAACAAACAATAGATGCATAGTATCTAGTATTGTTTTTGATTCAACTAATGGGTTAGTATTGTATATAAGAGAATTAATTGACACTGAAGATTTTATTTCAATCATCGGAAGCTATATGTCTTCAAATGAATACGCTATTGTAGCATATTCCAACATATTGAATGAAAGAAGTAAACAAAGTGGAAACTAAAGATTAAAATGAAATCTTCAGTGATAAATATCTTCTTACATGCAACAACTATTCACTAAATCAACAGAGAAATCCCTGAGAAAGATTGGAAATCCAAAGTACACATACATCCTTCTAAAATGATTCCCCGTTCATTATTTATTTAAACACATAAACATAGGTACAAAGAGGAACCGAATAGATATGCGCCACATAAATCATTCTGTTTGTGTGATGGCTGGGATATTACCCCGATGCCCAAACCGAAGCAGGTGGTTTTCTTAGGAGGACATACCCGGAGCCTTTGACCTAAAGGTCTGATCCGCGAGGCAGTGGGGCAACGTAAGGAGATGCAGTCACATGGTAGCCAGTCGCCAACAATAGGTTCATACACCATTTGTTCCTTCAGGATACTGCAGTCCATGTATTTCAGTGGTTTGGAATGAGGGTTTTCCAACTCCACTAGGTGGACTCCCTGTGTCCATCAACCCGGTTAAATTACCGGACATTCGCTTTTCGTTTTCTCAATTTCGTAAACAACACCCCCGCCACGAGAAGGCAGTGAGTAGGACTTCCCTGGTAGAGGCTGTATACGCGTGGCCGCGTAAGCATTTCGAAATGGAGGGCGGGCCCACCCCACTCTCAGCCATACCAGGGCATTTTGGGGCTCTCCATTCACTAATTCAAATGAAAGTATGATATGACATGGTAGGGGTCATTATTATTTATTTATTTATTTGTTTATTTGAACACATGAATATTGGTACAGAAGAGCGCCAATATATATGCGCCACACAAAACAATGAGAATTCGAAGAGAAATAATAAAAAAAACTAGGGAGCGCAAAAGAAAAAGAGAACAATGACGAAGAGATTGGAGTAAGGTAGTGTGGTAGTAACGAGGGAACGGAAAGGTACAATCAGAAGAAATCTTTCAGATAAGGGAGACACAACCACTTTTTATGAAGAAAGTAAAAGAAGGTTACAGCAGGATCGCCACTGGCTTCTATTCTGAGCCATATCTGATAACGTCTCTAGCCACTGTGTAGCACCATCTCTCGGACCCTAACCAGGGAGCCGTGAAGGACCGACAGAAGCCAGTCCTTTGCAGCTTTCTTTCATGCCACGACACCATGTCATGCACTGACCACCTCTCCGCTTCTTCCAACCAGTCCCAGAGTCGGCAAATAATGCACGACGTGGAATTCTCTGGGACGACATTCGTAGAACATGTCCAAGCCACCGAAGTCGGTGTTTCAAGATGGTGACACCAATTGAATTATCATCTCTGTGCCCGAACACACGATGCCGAACCTCTGCATTACTGACATGGTGTTGCCACTGAATGTCAGCAATCCTTCGGAGACAGCGATGATCGAACACAGAGAGTCGTCTAACGTCCTCAACTCGGAGAGGCCAGGTTTCACAAGCATAGAGCAAAACTGCTCTCACCGACGCGTTGTAGATCCGGCCTTTTACAGCCACACTAACATCATGAAGGCGCCAAAAGTGGCTCAGATTGGCATAAGCCGCTCTGGCTTTCACTATTCGTGCATTGATCTCATCACTCACACCCCCACCAGCACTTATGCAGCTACCCAGATACACGAACTTCTCGACTACTTCTATCTGCTCACCATCCAGGGTAAGTACAGGATTAGAATCCTGCCAGTCTTGTAGAAGTACTTTGCACTTCGAAGGTGCAAAACACATACCATAACTACGGACATTGATTGCCAACTGATTAAGTGCGGATTGCATGCCTTGGGCATTATCGCACAGTAAGACAATATCGTCCGCATACTCAAGGTCGAGAAGTCTTTCTCCAGGCAACAGATCCACACCACCATTACTTACATTCATCAGAGCTGTTTCCAGAATGTCATCGATGGCAAAGTTGAAGAGGAATGGTGAGATTGGGCAACCCTGCCTAACCCCACTGCTCGAATGGAACAATGGAGAGAGGTGGTTGTATGCCCTCACTCTGCCTGAGGTGTTTGTGTATAGGGCTTTTAGGATGTTAATAAACTTCTCAGGCACACCCTTCTTCAATAGACAATCCCAGAGAACAGTCCTATCCAACGAATCGAAGGCAGCCCTGATGTCAAGAAACACTACGATTGTTGGCCTTTGAAAAGTATGGCGGTGTTCTAACATTTGGCGGAGGGTGAATATATGATCAATACATCCTCGACCAGAACGAAACCCAGCCTGCTCCTCGCGAGTCAATCTTTCTCGGGTTTTGAACAACCTACGAAGAATGACGGAAGCCAATAGCTTGGACGCAATCGGAAGTAGACTTATCCCCCGATAGTTGTTACAGGAACGACGTGAACCCTTTTTAAAGATAGGGACAACTATCGACTCATTCCATGACGTTGGTACACTCTCTAGTTCCCAAACCTTTGTAAACAACGTCGTCAATTCCTTAGTCAAAAAGTCACCACCATCTTTAAAAAGAGCCGGAGGTAAGTCATCTGGGCCAGGTGATTTGTAACGCTTCAAGAGTTGGAGTTCCTTGCGAACTTCCTCCTCGTTTGGTGGATCAGTCGTCACCGGCCATGGAGGGCAGGACAGTCTGACCGATGTTGCCGGAGCAGCAGGCCAGTTGAACTGCCCTTCGGAAAATTCTGCCCATCGTCCAAGACGTCGATGGATGTTAGTGATTGGCATCCCATCATCCTCGCAGATTGTTTCACTCACACCAGACTTCTTGCTGCCAGTGGCTCGGATGAGCTGGAAGAGCTTCCGGTAGTTACCAGATGCAGCTGCTGCTTCCAACTCATTAGCACGCATCGACCACCAGGCTTCTCGGTCCTTTCGCAAGCTTTGCCCAATTTCCTCACGTAACATCCTTCGTTTATGGTCAAACTCACGGTCACCCGGAGTAGACCGACGGGCTTCAATGAGTTGTAAGGAACCAGAAGAAACCCAGTGCTTAAAAGCGGGACGTTTCGCAAACCCACAACTGACTGTTCCCGCCATTTTCATGGCGTCATGCAATTGCAACCAATGCTCATCTATACTTTTCGGCTAGCTCGGTTCGATACTTACTTGCAACAGAAGTTGCAACCAGCTTGCTAACATCAATCCGTTGATGGCGTTCACTTCGTTGTCCACTGAAAAGTAAGGCAAGATTGGCGCAGACCAAGGCATGGTCAGAGTCCAGATAGGTACTCCAAAAGGAGCGGCAGTCTTGTACACAACCATGCCAGCGGTAGCTGATCGCGATGTGATCAATCTGAGTCCAGGCTTGGGATGCAGAGGGAGGACGCCAGGTGGCACATCGGCGATGACTGTGCCGAAAGTTAGTGCTAGCCAGAAACAGGTTGTGGTCTGTGCACAGTTGCAGTAGACGGTCCCCGTTATCTGTCCTGCGACCAACGAGTCCCCATCGGCCACCTAAACGACTCTCTTCTGTGCCTAGACGCCCGACCTGAGCATTCAAGTCTCCGGCTAGTACTACAATATCTGTCGAACGCACTTTCTGGAGAAGAACAGACAACTGGTGGTAAAACTCATCCTTGATTGCATCCGGGCTGCAATCTGTCGGGGCATAGGCGGAGATGACGAAAAGACATCGTTTCTCACGCCGATTTCTTCTCACTTTGATGGGACTTTCTAATCTAACAGCACATAACCGACTGTTAATGGGGATCCAATCGACTAGTGGTGCCTCAGCTCTAGCGCTTAGTGCGACACCAACGCCAGCAAGACCAGACGAAGATGCCACAGGGTCCCCGGATAAGCGCACGTAAAACAAGCTTTGCGAAGCGACAGATGGAATGAGAATTTGTAGTACTTCGCCAGTCTTGAATACGGGTCTCGGATAGACAACAAACATCAATATTAAGACTTTCCAAAGACATGGCCAGCCCTATCTGTTGTCCGACCTGCATAAGTGTGAGAACGTTGAAGGCAGCCAGTTTGAATGGTGCACGTGGTTTCAGAAAAACTGCTTCAGTCCTCGTATTCGGTGGTAACATACAATTTTCAACCGGACAGTGACTCGAGAACGTTTAGATACAGTCGAATTTCCACCAAAAACGAGCCGCTGTATAAGTATAAAAGAGGGTGAATAATGTGGAAAATAATAATAATAATAATAATAATAATAATAATAATAATAATAATAATAATAATAATAATAATAATAATAATAATAATAATGACAATAATAGTCATAATAATAATAGTATTGATAATGACAATAATTGTAATGATAATAATTTGAATCAATTGATTGTTTTTCGAAGTGAGAAAAGTAATTTCCATAGACATAAAGAGTTCATCATTTGTGTGTGGGCTGTGATACTGCCCGGGTGCCCAAACCGAAGCAGGTGATTTTCTTAGGGGGCCACACCCCGAGCCTTTGACCTAAAGGTCTAATCGACAAGGCAGTGCAGCATCGTAAGGAGATGCAATCCCATGGTAGCCGGTGACCAACGATTGGTTCATACGCCATTTGTTCCCGCAGGATACTGGAGCCCATGTGCACCATTGGTTTGTGATCCGGTTAAAGCGCCGGACATTCGCTTTTCGTCCTCTCATTTTCGTAAACAACACCCCCGCCACGAGAAGGCAATGAGTAGGACTTCCCTGGCAGAGGCTGTATACGCGTGGCCGTGTGAGAGTATTTCGAGAGGGAGAGCGGACTCTCCCCACTCTCGGCCGTACCAGGGCATTCAGGGGGGCACCCTAACCATCAACTTCAAATCATAATTGTAATTCCTCACGTTGGTTTATAACCCTCATTTGGTCCTATTTATTAGGTGAACACTCTCAACGTCACTTTAGTGTCGCTCAAAGGTCGTCCATAAATTATAGTCTCACCGCACTATCAATTAAATATGGAATCATGTATAAATATTACGAGTTATGGTCATCATCTTACTTGCTACAAGTGGTTAGCTTTTCTAAATCAAAATTTGCGTCAATCTCAACTACAGTGTATTGTATTGTATTTCACTTAAATTACCATTTAACTGTCTTATTTTTGAACTCTTCTCTCAACTTTATGTTTAACCACATTATTTAAACATTTTATAGTTGCCGAGATTCCCTAAAACGGATAACAAATTCCTTCCATTCTACTAGTCTTGTTGTCTTAACTCTGAGTTCAAAATGATCAAAAGAATGAAATGTATAAAATGACATATGTACTTTATTTTACCGGTTATTTCCATTAGGATACTATTAAATGAAATGAAATGGTGACTTAATACTGAAATCAATCACATATTCGAACTAAATTCTCCTTAGTTCGGTTTAAGCGCCGAGTCAATGTATCCTCAGTGATTATACACAAGTAATATACCTAAAATAGTGAATATGTAGTGACCTAGTTTTATCAAGAGGATGCGATTGGTTTAATCGAAACAATTATTATTATAACCAATTGTACCAGGGATTGTTTTACCGTACTTGTTTGTTTAACTGTACCAAAAACATATACATTCTTCCGTTAATTGTGATAATAATTTGAATCAATTGATTGTTTTTCGAAGTGAGAAAAGTAATTTCCATAGACATAAAGAGTTCATCATTTGTGTGTGGGCTGTGATACTGCCCGGGTGCCCAAACCGAAGCAGGTGATTTTCTTAGGGGGCCACACCCCGAGCCTTTGACCTAAAGGTCTAATCCACAAGGCAGTGCAGCATCGTAAGGAGATGCAATCCCATGGTAGCCGATGACCAACGATTGGTTCATACGCCATTCGTTCCCGCAGGATACTGGAGCCCATGTGCACCATTGGTTTGTGATCCGGTTAAAGCGCCGGACATTCGCTTTTCGTCCTCTCATTTTCGTAAACAACACCCCCGCCACGAGAAGGCAATGAGTAGGACTTCCCTGGCAGAGGCTGTATACGCGCGGCCGTGTGAGAGTATTTCGAGAGGGAGAGCGGACTCGTAGCCCTACAAATGGATACCCTACTGATTGGTCATAGTGTTACCAACCGTTATTCATTATATTTTTAAACTAATTTTACCATGATAAATGATTCTGGCTGTTCAATACTTTTTAGTAAATAACTCCAAATAAATCAAAGCACTGTATAATATTTTTTTAATTTGAAATTACTCAATATTTACTTCATGTTGAAAGATTGAAAAAATACAACTCAAACTGATATTGTTCTAGAGCGTAAGAAATTTTTGGTTATACTTACCTATCGACAAAATATTTTCATCATTAAAAACCTTTTCTGATTGATCTACCAGATGAGATGATGAAACTTCATAACTAGGAATAATACTTGATGGACTTAACATAGTCCAACTACCACTACTATTATAACAGGGACTAATTATTGACTGTTTCTGATAAAGTATGTAAATAAACGAAATGGATAAAGACATACATTTGTATGGGAGAAAGTAAAAGTTAAAAACAGAAAAGTACATCCATCGTAAATCTACAAGCATTTCCCCAGTTAATTCCATCACATGAAATTATGATTACTTTCTATACGACATTAAAATCTATTTACTAAGTGTACTTAACAATTGTTAACATTGATTTCTAAGTGGTTTTTGTTTAGTAGTTTGATTAATCGACATTGACTTATAAATCAGTTGGATGTTTAAACCTTACCTTCTCTCAATTCAATTAAGTTTCGGCATCTAAAGAGTAGTATCACTAGTCGTCATGCAAAACTGAATGTACAGAAATTTCTACATGATTAATAAGTTACATGAACGATCAGTTGAGTGGTACGGTTCCGGACTCGCCAGAGAATTTCAATTTCCTTAAGATTACATAAGCATTCCTTGTTGGAAAGTACCAAGTAGTATGAGACCTAGGTCGAATTTCCAGCTGACTACATTTAACCACCTAACATAAAATAGTCCACGGGGTGTTGAGCCACTTAGACCACCAACTTGATCGGCAAAATTCGACCGGTATTAAGAAGGACTAGACAAACACGATATTGGCCACTACTTAGTGATCAATTAATGGTCAACAATTAAGTTACACCCAACCGACATTTAAATTAAATTTAAGAAGAAATAGTCAGAATTTTCCGGCATCTGACAAGTTAGTAAATGAAGATAAACTGTGGATACCAAATAAATTCCTGTGTAAGCAGTAATTTTATAAAGATTTTGTAACTAAGAGAAAACAGAAACACACGTTCACAGTATATCAAAAGTGTATAGATGCAGATAGATTTTATTCGATTAAGGTGTATTGATGAGATCTAATATGGCAATCTCAGAAAAACTTTGCAAACTTCACGAGAATAAATATTGGCAGTAATTATGAAATAGCATGCATCTCAAATTAACAATATTTCAAATTACCCCAATGAATTAAGATCATTTTCAGTTATACGTAAAGCTGACAGTTCTATAACCTTCCTTCATTACAAATACAGGCTAGTTAAGAATCACAACAGCTAGATATCTCAATTACCAAGTACAGACATGTGTACTTGGCTTTGAGTCAGGTATTATGTAAGGGCTAGTGATACTGACAAGTTTCTCAAGCCGAAAGAGGCGAAGCAGGACTAAAACTTGAAATCCACTAGTTGAAAGTCGAATGCTTTAACTAATAAACCAACTCTCTCGACCGCAGCAGAAATAACCTATTGATTTTATAAATATACACAGCGAATGTTGAGATCTCCGTTAATTAGGGAAAAAAACTCGCTGATAGAGCATTTACCTTATTCAAACTGGTTACTTTGGTTAAAGAACGAAATCGTGTAAGCGCCTGTTTAAATAACTCATCAACAATTAAATATCGTAAATTAGCCAATCTCTCTTCACTAGTTAACTTTGTACTTTTATATTTATATTTTGTACAGTTGTTACCGGAATTTATCAATGGGAATGAATTCCGTTTAATAGATGTTTCATTTTTTTGACTTGAATGACTATTATTTGATAACTTGGATGAACAATTAGTTTCATTGCAACCGTGTGGTAAATGAGATCCACATGCCTATAAAATGAAAGTAGCGTAGAAAAAGAAATTTGCAGATACACATCTTATCGCTTGTTAATAAAATAGGAGTAATACAGAACAATTTGGCTAAAACAATAACTATGCACTGAGACAGACAGATTTCATGTGACAAGAACATTGTGACCTGGCTTTCGCACCCTTTTTAAACTTAGTAATAATGTATAATTTTATTTGCTGGGTTTAGAGTTACGCTGAGGTCTAGTGATACTATATGGGTGTAAAGATCGAGGTAGATCGAACGTAGTAATCGGAACCCGAGTGCTTTCAACACTAAACCACTACTTCAGTCAAATCCTATCCAAACTAGTATTTCACGCTCTGGTAGACAGACCAATCTAAAAAGTCAGTCAGTCAACTACAACACATGACCAGGCACATACATGCATCGGTCAAAGTTGCCACACCTCATTAGCACAACAAGATGAACACCAAATTCAAAAAAGTAGTTACTTCAATGGTAGAAATATATGAAAGAAAGATTGTATATGAGAGTATAAAACGGGAAAAAAGAATTAGTTCGTAGAAAGAAGGGTATAAATTAATCTTAATATGATGGGGGAAACAAAGAGTGCAAACAGGTATGCCACTGTAATCGATTCTCAGCCATGTCACTCAGAGTCTCCAACCACTGGTTACGGTAGTCGCGCGGGCCCCAACTAAGTAGTTTGCATCTACCAACATGGCAAAGACTAGAAGTTAGCAACCTCAAGCACTGATGCCACGTTTTGGATTGGTTGCCTCTAACTTTCCTCCAACCATCTCGGTTGATAAACATTCCCAACCTCATCGACTAATTTAGCATCATTCCGTAATACCTTGGCATCTAACCTCACTATTACTTACCCAGCGGTCCCAGCAGATGCTGGCAATATTTCTAAGACATCTGTGATCAAACACTAGTAACTTACGAGTGCCTTCTACCATTGATAGCCACGTTTAGCAGCCATAAGGTAGAACAGAACGAACTATAGAATGCTAGTCTTTTAATTGATAGTCGGATATCTCGCCTCAGACATAGGTGACGTGAGTTGGCAAAAGCCAAACGAGCTTTCTGAATCCCTGCAACGACTTCGTCAGAATCCAACCATAAGGGATGATCAGACTTGCAAGATAAGTGAAGTTGTCGATGTGTTCGACTAATTCACTCCCTAATAATATGAATTCATTTTATTTCGTTAGGTTCTCATCAGCTGCTTACAACCTATAATATTTAAAGTCAACGTTATTACAGATATTGACATGTTTATTAATACGAGGATGATTATAGATGAATATGTGTATCATAATGTAGCGAAGATTCTGATAGAGTTAATAAGGTCACAAAAAATGTTGTTTCGAATAAATCAAGTTTGAAGGAAAGTTCCAGAACATTGGAATAGTGATTATAAGTCATGGTGTTAACAAACATTAAATGATTGTGTAATGAAGTAACTGAAAATAGATTATTGATAACAAAGTAAGATATGAATTGAAATCAGTCAGTTATGAATTGAATAAAAATGACAATGATGTAATCAAACTCCAGAAATAGTTGAAATAATGAACGACGTAATAAATAAGAAGAGGTGTAACGCTATCAACCAAATAAAGATTTATTACTGCCTCGTTTTGGACACCTAGATCTGGTTTTAGACGTTTGATCTATATCACTTCGACAAATTTCGAAATATTGGAGTTTGATTGATTGCTAATAACCTTGAAAGACTTCAGTGTATCGAATTGATGTCCTGTGTCAAGAAGATGTCTTGGGATGGCACTGCTGAATGCTTTTAATCCATTTGCCCTTAAAAGTTTCGGAATATTTTCTTTGAACCGGACATTGGCTCTCCTTGCTGTCCTACCGATGTAACTGTTTTGGCAGATACATGTAAATTTGTATACACAGTTGGTGGTAACACGAATTAGTCAACGATCTAAGTATCGTAAATCGCATAAAATATATCCACTTTATCTAAGGTCTGCGAAGCAAAATATGCAAGAATTTCCACCTGACTTTGTCAAAGACTCTATCACAGGAATACCTATACTGTGATTTTCCGAAAAAAAACCGAAAAATTCTCTATAATCTATCAATAGTGAATTTTCATATGCTCAAAATACATGCCAACAAAATCGACACAGAAACTCATTTTGAGAACTTATTTGATCAAATTAAAGAGTTGCACCCAGTTAGTGAAGAGAAGAAAGACTGATTTAAGTCTAAACTAGTTGATATCGCGAGCCATTGTCTCGTTTCACCCACAATGTAGTCTAAACTTTTACCCAAAAACCATTTGACAGCATTACGAAATACTGAGCGAAATGATGATATAATGATATTACGGTCAGATAAAGGTTCAGGTGTTGTTCTAATGAACACAAAAGATGAAGTCCATTTTAAGTAACCACATGAGTTAGAAAAAAGTAACAAGGACTTAACTGGTTCAACTCAGAAAAGAATCACGAAAGTACTCAGGGATCTCCTGAAGATGATGACTGATAATTCCACTTACAATAATCTGCGACCTCGTGGGTCTCATTTGCTCCACATTCATGGTGTACCAAAAATACATAAACAAGGTATTCCTCTTATACTTACGCTGTCAATGGTCAATTCACCCTACCACAAAGTAGCACGATGGCTAGCGGGTGGGTTAGAACTAGTTCGTCAACGTTTAGCCACGTATACATTGAAGTATTCATCTAGATTTGCTGGCAGAATGAACCACATAAATATTGCTGGTAATTCTTTATGACCATATTAACTCTATCAGAATCTTCGCTACATCATGATACACATATTCATCTATATTCACCCTCGTATTAATAAACATGTCAATATCTGTAATAACGTTGACTTTAAATATTATAGGTTGTAAGCAGCTGATGAGAAACTAACGAAATGAGTTCGTATTATTCTGCACCAATATTCGTTTTTGCTGTCTTTAAGATAATAAAGGGAACTACGTGTATGAAATCTAACGACTAAATTGACTAATGTTTTAGCTAAAATCTGGGAACTGAATGGAATCCCATCTGACTGGTCAAAACCATCCTGTGGTAACCATAGAGGGATTAGTTTGACTAACATGGCATCTAGAATACTAGCCTGAATTATTATCGGGAGCCTAACAAAGACTCGTGAACTGCAAACGCGAGAAAATCAGGCTGGTTTCAGACCTGGTTGTTGCTGCATCGACTATATATTCACCCTTCGTCAGACCTTAGAACACAGGCGTGCTTATCGGCATCCGACTATGATAGTTTTTCTTGACTCTTTACTCGAACACTACCAGTTACGTCAGGGATCATGGCGAACTGTCATCTGATTTTGCAACCTCAAGTGGTGTCCGTCAAGGTTGTTCACTATCTACATTTCTGTTTAATTACGTCATAGACCCGCTGCTGGAAATAACGTCCTCGTCGACTGAATTACCGGGCATTGATCTCCTACCAGAAGATCCACTTACCGACTTAGAATACGCATATAATATAATCCTGTTTGGTGAAAACGTTTATAAGATGCTAGGTCTTTTGGTGGCACTGAGCAACAATGCCAATTGTTGCTTCAGGACTGGCCTGCGTCAATATCTAAACTAAGGATAGGTAGTGAATTAGTCGAACGCATCGACAACTTCACTTATTTTGGAAATCTGTATCAACTTTATGTGGTTTTACTGAGTCCAGTAAGGCGCAACCAAATGCGTGCTCCTATTAGAGAGTGACCAGAGTCTAAATATGTACTCCAGAACGAGCGGCAGACTTTAGTGAGTCTCTCCAACGATGACATGGCAATATTGTCTATTTGAGTCCATCGTTCGTTTGGTGAAGGGGGTCGCCATGTTCAACGATATCTCTTCTTATGCTTAAAATTAGTGATTGCTAAAGAAAAACGATTTTCTGAGCATAGTTGCAGCAGAAATTCACTATTATCTATTCGCCCAGCCGGAATACTTATAGTGCCGATCACTATGTTAATCCCATATAACTTGTTCTAGCATATGGACAGGTTGATTTATCCATTCTTCTTGAATCACATTTCGACCTTGTTAATTATTGACTTATCAACCCTGATCGTTTTTATATGAGCGTATATGTGTGTATATCTTATCCTACTCAACACAGAACTGTAACTTATTTTTGGGTGAATATGAGTATTGATTCACGCTTAATTAAATGAAGTTGGCTAACACATCTTCACCGCAGGTCATTCCGCTTTGCTTTCTTCTATTCGTTTCATCCCTCTCATTTCCTGTCCAGATTAGTGAGTGTACAAAATATAGGTATTCAAAAATCTATTCTCGTATTCGACTTATTAAATTCCGTTATTCACCAACGCGATTTAATTCGATGAAATATGCGAGAATGGCCGGCATGTGAATTTTGATGACAATCAGCATATAATCTAATCGGAGTCAGATATAGGGTCACAAAATACTAAAACACCCACCTAAACGTCTTTCTGTTTGGTTTAAGCTACCTATTTGAGCATTTAAGTCACTTGCTACGAGTACTATGTCCGAGCGCTTAGCTTTTTTGAAGAAGTTCAGAAAGCTTTCTGAAAAAATCATCCTTTACTTCATCCGGGCCGTAGTCAGTGGGAGCGTAGGCAGACATGACATATGTCCCTATGCTTCCGACTTCTTACGGAGCCATTTAACCGAACGGCACAAAGGCGACTGATAACAGGGATCCATTCTAATAGCGTTTGTTCTGCCCTCGTACTCAGTGCTATACCTACAACCGACAGTTCACGAGAACTAGTCATCAGGTCGCCAGATAAACGGAGGGTGTATCTGGTCGGCTTTCCGTTTTGGTGAGGTGAGATCAAATAGATGACCACAGGGTAATGCATGCGTGTTTCGGAGACACAGAATACATCAATGGCAGGAAATTCTAGGATCTTGGATAAGGATGCCTGCTGGCCGACTTGATACAGGGTGAGTACGTTGAGGACTCCAATGTGTAGTTCGGAACGAGGTTGCAGTAGACCTGAGGCAGTGTTGCGCACTGGAATCATTGGCGATAGTGACACTTGAGGAGGAAGTAAAAAGGGAGTTTGGAGTTGAAAACCGAGGTGGGAGGAATAATGGGGATTGAAGAGAAAAATTGACTATAGATACAGTGACCTTGGGTGTTATTAGAGGTAAGAGGGCAGTTTTCACTTTTCGGTTGCCCACAAAGTGGAAGGGTTCTTCTTGAGATACCTGAAAAGGAAATTGGGATTGAGTCGGTCCTAGTGCCCTGAGAGCGTGACCTAAGTGCCCAAGGGACAACTGCTTGAGGCCGGTTACATCCGACCTTTTTGAGAGTAATTTTCGTGTAAGTTCCCTACTTGTTGGGACATTACGGCCGGAGACGTAAATCTGTGAGACAAGACGAGGTGTAGATTTTTAGGGTCGACCTATTCTAACTCCACCCTTCCTTGTGGGGGGGCAGCATCGCTGTTATGCTGGTTGTCTGAGGGAAACACCTTACTGCCGTCACATCAAAAAGTCGGACAACAGATACAATTAAGCATATGTATTATTATGCTACGACCGTCGTTTATGCTTTATTCAAATTTATAAATGGGAAAAACCGTATTTAATAAAAGCCTCTTTGTTATCGCTAACTAATCATATGTGTAGTTTACACTCTCCCCCGAGAACATGATGCTTTTCAGCTACATCAGTTACTGACACTATTCTTAGATGTGCAGAGCATTTTGATCTCCCATGGCTTTTAGAGCACCAGAAATTAAGAAACACTTGTCACTTTCCCAGAACTTTATAAAACTGAATAACCTAAGCAAAAATTTCTACAGTTAAGTCAGGAAATACAGATGGGTACGAAATAACTAAAAAGCTCTCTGGTGAACACCTAAATTACATAATACATAACGAATGTCCCAATATTTAGTATAATACCGTATAACAAGACTTCCATCGCAAAAATGTGCTCACAACTAAACACCAGAAAAAAATTGATTTGCGAAAAAATTGAGTAGATCTAAGCACCAAAAGTATCATGTGCCACAACGAGATCTGCAATTTCAACAGAGGGCTATTTTCCGATTCTCTAGCCTAAAGGTTAAGCCCGTAAAGCAGTAGAAAAACGGCAGATGCCGTCTCCTGACAGTCGATAATCAAAAACAGGTTAACTCATTATTAGGTCCGTCACGATCCTGGAGACCACGTGTTCAAAAATCAGGGCTTCTTGACTTTCTTAGGCGGATTTTACTGACCCACCAATCCGGTTCTAGACTTTATAGACTATGCTCCAATAGCCTGAATGAGGCGAGTACGATTTCCCTGGCGAAGACACTTAACTCATGAGCGTACGAGATCATTTAATGAGGGACAGGACACTTTCCACTTTCGGCTTTGCAAGAGTATTTGGGAACTACAATTAATATTTTACAAATTGTTGACAATGATTTTAGAGACTAGTTAGGGAACGCACTAGCAGCGAGGCTAAGTAATTTTTAGTTTAAAAAGGTAATCTGAGATGATTAACTGAACGAGAAAGGTTTTTTGATGTAATGTAACTTTGGTTTGTCACATAAACGATTAACTGCGCAATCAAATTTAGAATATACCCAAACCAACCTTGAACTGAAAATGTTTAGTGTAGTGAAAATTGTTAATTACATCTCCATCATCTGTATCACCATGTGAGCTGAAGTAATATCTTGATTTGTTGTATACTAAACTCAGTGTAATTTCCGCGCCAGTCAGACGATGTAGTTCAAGCGCTTTCTTAAATAAACCATCTCGACGCTTGCGGAAAGTGGCCTAAGTAAGAGAATGATACTTCGCAACCAATTCTTACCACACATTTATTTTTATCTTCAATTTTTTGGACTTCAATTTTTCTGCGTCCCATCACTTATGAGAATGAAGTGCTTTGCACCTGAATGAATTTACAGCCATGTTTTCAGACAACCACTCTACCTAAAATGCCAAAAACTATTTCTATGTAAACTGGTCTACAGCGCATTTACACGCAATTATGAAATATTAATGAATGCTGGAATAAGGTTTAATTAGACAGGCGGAAGTTTCAGTACATTTGAAACACCATTTCATAAATCCTTCATCTTGAAAATGTCTAGCACGTTATCAGATTAAAGGGGATTAGCATAATGATCAACATAGTCACCAGTGTATATAACTACAATAAATGAGCAACTATCCCAGTCAATAAGACGACAACACTAAACAATAAGTAAGATGAAAAGCAGAGCCGTCCAGCATCTTATAGGGATCAAATTGATTGCATTAATCCGAAGGTGTTGAATTCACCTAAATCTTTTACTGTCTTTAAACACTAGTAGTAACAGCTATATCTACTTACGACACTCCCTTCATATTGCCTGATCATAAAGAATACAAGGCTTTATAAATACATGGGAAATCGTGGAAAAACAGTAGGAATATTCTATATAATAAAAAATAATAACACAAGAAGCCGAGACCGCTATGGCCTTGAAGTAGGACACGAACCTTGACTATTCGAAGCCAGATATCTAGTAAAACGAAGCATATTCATTTTCTTCTGGTGAGCTGAACGTTTTGCATCCACCTTGGAAAAGAGATCAACATTTCATTCCTCGAACTTTACATCTTATAACGTGCTAGCTATTTCCAAAGCCCTGGTACTATCAGTGAACCGCAACAGCTGATCTTTGTGACAGGCTAGTGTAAACCAAGTGACTTCCATGTGTTGGCTTCTTTATTCCGTAAGATTTTAGTTCCAACAGAACTAATTCTAGTCCGTTTTTTAGTTTTTTTATGAATTTATATTGTGGTGACCTACTTTTATAAAGAGAACGCGATTGGTATAATGGAAACCATTATTATAACCAGTCTTACCAGTGATTCTTTTACTGCACTTGTTTGTTCAACTGTACTGAAAACATACATTCCTCCGTTGTCTTTGACCATGCACGCTCTCGGTTACGCTCAGTATTTCCATTTGTACTCTTTTGGCACGATCTCGGTGAGGATACCACAAGTATTCAGTGTTTGACAACGCTTTTACCAGTAACACCTAATATAACTCGTACACACCAAGAGAAATCAAAAGACAGAATCGAGAAGATCAGAAGTTGTATTTGACGATTGCCAGTATATCGAAATTGTCTGATCTAATCTGGCTAGCGTTTGCAGCAGATGTTGAGCACGGCGTTCTCACACGTGATCTGGTGCGGATGCATGACCGAGCGCCTTCAGCTAGGTGAGTCCATTAGAACTAATGTGGTCAGCATCCAATGTCAAAAACTTACAGAGCTATTTATTTTGGGGATTTATTTACCACTACATCGGTATTCTTTCGATACCGCAAGATCGCCAACAAATACATCTTGCTGCAACCTTCAGTTGCTTTCTGATATTTGGCTTACGAAGTAATCTAACGCAGTGACTGGCACGTAGTCTCAGTGTAGTGGTGATCATGGTCAGCCGCGACTCGACGCCACGCTACAACACTACAATAAATCTTGTGATCTGAGTGAGCGAGTTTGTTGTAGGAAGTTGAGGTTTCCGGAACTAGACGCTACCACACTAACAGTCAGGATGTTGACTGAATGCGATGTAAAGAGTTATGAAGAGAAAATTTGAGTGACAAGAGAGGACGACTGTCTCAAGAAGTAAATAAATAAACTGATCAGTAATTCAAATGATTTGAGACGACTGAAAGGCAAATTAATGAGATGATAGGAAATTATTGATACGTGATGATGATAATAGCAGATAATTTACAAGATGTGAATAAGGTACAGCTGGTCCATGTGGGGGGATTTTAGTAAGCCATGAGTTATTATATGATCCTTAGGCCTCCCTTTAAGGCCATCCACTGACGGGTTTGTGATCACTTCTAATGGTGAAGTATTCCAATTGAGGACTATTGTCAATCATCAAAATTGGAAGTGTACCGGAGTTTTCAATGTGTAATTTCATAGTAGTTGCCTCGAGGTACTACGTATTAATGTTCTGGCACAGTGTTAGTGTTTGGATGACCATGTGTACCTAATATGTTTTGTGCTACCATCAGATTGCCTCTCATTTCCCTTTAGCTCAACGAGAATAGTTCCAGGTATCTGAGCCTTTGTTTGTAAAATTTGTTTTTTAGCCCTATCATCTGCTTTGCTGACCATCTGTGTATTAAGATTCGTATCTCTTTTAAAGATTGTGGGCTCAGCAATGGCATGGACGTTGAGCTGAGACCTTGAGCAGGTTTCAAAGTTTTATAAACAAATCTAGGATGGTCACATCAATCTGTTTCGGTAAAAATTCAAGAGTTACATTTGCTTTTGCTGAATCTCTGGTGTAGACTAAGCTAGTGTTCAAGCACTCTGTAGTTAGTATTTCTAGATCGAGCTCTCAGGAGACAATCAGAAATGCGTTTCTGTGGAAGACATACATAAATCACCAAAGTAGCTTATTTTTGTCGAATGATTGGGGCCTACTCGGGTTAAACTAGAATGCTGCGACGAACCAGCTAACTTCGAAGTCACATCTCACTGTCAGCACCTAACTTGGATTACCCTTTCGTCGTATCAGGGTACCACGGCTGCTTTGAACACCGTATAACACAAAATACGTTATTACAGAAATGTGTTGGTGAGAATATGTTCAAGGAAGAGGGCGACCACCATCTCTTGGGCCAGTCCATGGAGTGCAATCAACTGACGCGTGTTTGTCGTCCCTGATCTGAATGGGGATCAGCGAACCGTTGTCGTCGTTCCTGCACTCCTCCATTTGATCAATGACTAGTCCTTCCATTACCTTTGACACTACTGATTGCAAATCCATCGGTCTATAGCAGGATGGATCTTTTATATCTCTCTTTATGAAGATCAGAGAGAGGAACCCGTGTACGTTCAAGTCACTGTGACCCTGGTGAGTGCCTAGATAGGTCACACATCGGAATGCTGATGGCTTCCGTGTACTGTTTTGGAATTATAGGGCAGGCGTAGCATCAAGTGGCTTTCCTGACAGCAGGGATCTTAGTATTCTCAGCACTAAAGTAGGAGTTAGCACCATCAGCTGGCACCAAGTTGAGAAGTGTTTCTCACTTGTAAGTTTCTGGTTTACATGGCCGGAAAAGTGGCCACTGAAAAATTGTGGTGATATCGGTCCTAACCACACAATCCTAAAAGCTGGATATTAGATCACTGGAAAAACAGATATTCAATATTAACACGAAGAGGTGGTAACACTGGTGAGCGTGGGAAAATTCATTAGATAAAATGGCATGAATCAGCCTCTCAGACGTTGTTATTATGTTTAATTTATTATTATTCACATTAAATACATTATTCTATCCGCAGCCCAAATGTGTTCTTCAGGAGTACTGAGTATCATATTGTTGATAGTCACGTACGATGAGTCAGTGTAGACAATGATGTGACTTTCACGTAAGATCTTATGGATTAGGCAGTCACGTCATCACAAACCTACGATTTCAGAATTAGGTCTACTGTTACAGAGTAGTACCAATAACGAACCAGACCATAGTTCTATACTGGTGGGTCCGACTAAAAAAACACAGCTTGTTATTAATTGTCCTTTTCACTTTAAATTAACTGACTGATTTTTACTTACGTTGACCCGTTATTCTACCCGTCCTTTGATCCATGCTCAAGTGCATTGTTAGAGTGTGAAATTGATTAGTACTCATAGCATACTAGCCCAGTCGATACTAATAACTTGTCATCTACATTTATTATTGACTATGATGGTTCACTAACAAGCTTTAGTAGCATTTACGTGCTTCAGTTAAATAAACATGCTAAAACATCGAGTACTAGAAAACATGGCCTTTAAATGACGTAAATTGACAATGGCTAAGGTACTAACACTCCTAAATATTTTTCAACTCGAGATACTTCTATAGAGGAGTTTCCCAGGTTGTAACTGTAGTCTGTAACATATCTCAGATGGGCTAATTTACACTTTGGAGTGTTAAAGGTAAGTCCGTTGTCATCTGCCAAACTTTGAAGTCAAGTCAGATCTTCCTAAAGTGTCAGTATATCCTCTCGGTTGCGTATCTCTCTTCAAAGTTTCACACCTTCAGCAAAAGGTAACAAGTCTGACGATACCTGTTGTGGAATATCGTTTATATAAATCAAGGAAAGAAGAGGCCATTTTACTGAACCCTGGATGACTCAATAAGACAATCAATATCCCGAGAGAAAGTGACGTTAACCATGACCTTGAAATGGTGATTATTTAGATCTGAGGTGAGCCAGTCAATTAGAGATGATTTGATACCCAATCGTTTGGGCTTATTGATAAGACGTACATGTTTGACCCTGTCAATTGATTCTGAGAAGTCAAGGTAAATGACATTAACCTCCCTTTTGCGATCAAGGGTGGTTGTCCATCTGTCCACAGCAGTCAGCAGGTTGGTTACAAAAGAATAACTCTTCCTGAAACCATGTTGTTGGGGTGAAAAGAAGTTTAAGGACAATAAATAGTAGTGTATAGCGTCGCATATCAGGGACTCAATAATTTTTGAAGGTATGGAGAGAAGTTGAGCTACTCATCAAAACCAATCAAATATGTGACCTTGGGGTCATGGTGACCGCCTTTCATAACCGGGTTCGTAGTTGCGGTGCATAAGAGCACTTCATGACCTGTAAAAGTAGAATATGCGGTTAAGGAAAAAAAGAAAATTACAAAGCGTACGAGAATCGAATGGGTTTTTATGGTCATTGGCACAATTGGAGTCTTACGGACTAACCATTTGATGGGTTCAATGTAGGTATGCATGTTATAGTGAGACTATATCTCTTAAAAATGCCCAGAAGACGGTTAGGCTTGCATCTCGCAAGCGTGCATGTTCTACCAGTCATGAGTATCGTAAATATTCGACCAATGTTAGTAAATACTGCAATCCCGGCCATTGCAGCCGTTGTAGTCTATTGGTCGAGTGCGTGTGGAGTTGGTGTTTTCGTTCATGAATCCCAAAACCATACCATGTTCGCTGAGTGTAAGTTACTCAGACACAAAGAAAAATAACAATGAAAGGACGGATTAGTATGCCAAAGTTTCCCAACAAGTCACACTAAAACACTGTCTTAGTTGGTGGTTAGCTACCTAAAGTATGAGCATTACAAGTGTTTTCTGATCATACTAATAATAATCGAAAATTAAAGTCACGTGTGTAGTAGGTTTCAGCTATAGGATAAGAAAAATAACTCACATGATCTGTTATTTATATAAAATAAGGTTTTATGAAACATAACTATAGTGATATGTAAATAAGAACTTTCGTCTAAATTTGAACGAATTGTTTCACAACATTTGATATATTCCAGAAGTTCGTATGGACAACTGACTATAATTAGTTTAACGTGAGCGTAGCCGTGAGAGTCATGTCGTAAACTCAATATTCTTGTAGTGTGTCCTACTGATGTCAACATATATAGGTAGCATGTGTCATAAATCGAAAGTGAGATGTCTGAAGGCAGAAGTTTAAGAGGATCGATGAGAAGAGAACGAGAACAGAAAATGGTTGGTGTAGAATCGAAAGAACAGTGAATTCTGAGACGATTGATTGGCATTTTACAATTGAAGTGTTTACTGTATGGTTCTCAGAGTTTACTAAGATGTTCTGTAATTTTGTGTTCAAACGCATTCGGTTGTCTCCACTTGTGTTCTGGTTCACTACACTATCACCTTATAATTCGCCCTAGAATAGCCTTTGGATCCTTTAGCTATCTAATAATGATGGATATTTCATCATCTCTGGTTTTGGGATGGTTTATGGCTGTGGTGGTGGGCTTAAAATCAATTTGCGGACTTATTTGGCAACTGAAGGAAGGAGGATTTAACTGAAATCTCGATAGCGAATTCCTTCAGATTTAATATTTTGCCTCGTGAAATAATGCTCTAGTTGAACGAACCACAACTCGGTGTTACTACGATCAAATTTTGGCGGTTGGACTTTCGTAGTCATAATAGTGTCTATCTCTACTGGTGACAAATCCTCCAGGCTTTTGGATTGCATTGAGTCTGACATGTGGTGAATGACCAATATAGTAATATAATAAGAACGAGGTAAAATAATGACCGCAAATTGAGCCACGCATAAATATGTACATTAAACATTAGTTAGGGATAATCAGAAGGTCTACTTTTACGACCGAGCAAAAAATAATGGTAGTAAGCAAATCAGAAATTGAATTTGTGTTCAGTACAGGACTCACCACAGTGGAGCGGGAGGTTACCAGTTCTAATATACGAAGCTTTTCAACATTTAATATAATATAATAGGAAAAGTAATGCCTACACAAAATAAGGACGTGAGTGAATACTTGAGCCCTATTGTTTTAAACATACTTAGTAGTTTGGGGTCAACTCTTAACTAGTCAACCTATGTTGTTACATGCGTTCAATCCAATTCACTACGCTGTACTTTTAATTTCTGTTTGCTCCCCTTAACGATGAATTCGATTCACACATATTCGTTTTGCAGTACGTTTTGGTTGTCTCCAGCTCTTTGTCGTTGACAATGTGACAATCATTCTATTATGCTGATGTTGTTCTCCTATGTTCGCAGCTTCTTAGACTCGTGTTTACTATCTTATTTTGGTTTCGTCATTTTACCAAGCCGTCCTATACCATACACTTTCAAACGCGTGAGCACAAACCTGATAGTTGGCATTCGATAACAACTATAAAAATGACGAGTTAATAAATAAAGACTATAACGATAAAGTCATGTGAAAATTCAAGTAATTTTCGTCACTTAATCAGTAAACATTAACCGCATTTTTTCCTGAACATTCGAAATATAAATCCCAGATGCCCTCATATATAATTGTCAACTTAATCCGATTTGAGAACAACGGAATAAAACAAGTCAAATGAAGTTTGAATACGTATATTTCGTAAACGCACTGGTCTGAACAGACAGTCAGGCATAAGTAGTGCAGAAAACAAAGAGGAGAGAGTAAAGCAAAACGAAATGACTCTCAGTGGAAAAGGCAAGTGAGCCAACTCAATTTAATCGGGCGTCACTTAATGTTTGTAGTCAGACCAAAATAGGATATGCAATCAACAGATATACGATCACATAGATACAGTCAGGTTAATAAGCTAATAAGTGACAGGGTCAGAATGTGGCCTGGGAGAAGTGAATTAATCGGTCTTTCCAGAGACTAGGATAACCTATGTGTATAGCAGTGTATTTACGAGCGGTAATCAATGAGTCGTCTTGCGTACCTTCACAAAACCGGGGCAACAAGTTAAAGGTCGGGCCATTACTTTTTAACAATAGCTTTGCGATCAATAATGGTGATTGCAAAAATTATGGGAATCAATGAAAAATGCAAATAATAACAAAAACCGGTTAAAGAAATCAGTCTATTTTAAGTATTCTCACAAACTTTATCTATCTAGTAACCTTACTCAGGTAATATTTTATCCGTAAACCCATGTCACAAAATATTGATTAAGCCTGTAAATTTGGTCTGTACCGGCCACGTATTAAAATTAATCTTGACACTATTCATATTCTCATGTATTCGAATTTACCTCCGTGTTGCTATACCCGGTGTATATTCTTACGTATCAACCTGAGTAGCATGTTGCTGTAAGTTGTGTAACACTTGTGAAAACTTGACCGTGCCTGTAAACCGGAATGCCTACTGCAAAGTGTTGTCATAAGTTGCTGTTACTGGGACTGAGTTTATGTTAGCACTTTAGAGGATATACTGAAGTGTTTGGAGTGCTATGTATCACTCAAACGTCCTCTATGAGTCACCCATACTCCAATATGTAAAGAACTAATGAGTTGTGACGTTCTACACGAAATTTTAAGTTACCCCCCTCAAACGATTTCGTCCCTTACCTTTGAATGAGCTTAGGGATATTCTTGCCTTTTTGAAGTGAAGGAGGAAGCACCAACATTCCTTATCTTAAATAAGGCGGAACAAAACTGCTGAGAACTAATTGAAACAATTTAAATGACCAGTTCCAAAAGGTTAAGGAGAAATGGCCAAAACATGAGTAATATTTTCGTCATAAAGATAAAATCCGAGTTGGTTATTTCATAATTAACATCACGGACAAATGGCAATTAATTCACCACTGAAAACCAGGAACCTCTGGACAGGTGGGTGTAAGCTCCAAACTACGGTTTGGAGTGAAGGACAGCTGTCTGGATCAGTTAGATACGCACCCTCGCCCGATTGAAACCAAAACAAAGTAATTGAGTAAGATGACGGTTCTATAATTTATCATAAATTTAAGTGTACATTATTACCTAAACAAATATAACCACTCAGCTATCCAACCAATAATTGTTCAATTGATCAAATCTAAACTACAATAAATAAGAAAGTTGATACAGGATGCAAGAAAATTACCAATCACCACAAATAAATGTTATTCTATCCTGTCTGGATAGATCACGTACAGATTCGTCCAAAAGGTAATAATTGGTCGCTCTGTAACGCAGAGTGTTTTCAATTCTGGAAAAGTGCTTCAATTCACAACCAAAATGCACAATTCCAGTCAACACAGGTCAAGCAATCAAAATCAGGGACAACCCAAAATGGCTGCCGCCCAGACTTAGTATGAAGTAAAACAACATAAGTACAGTTCGGGAAGAAACACGGGGGATTAGTGAAGGTATACTACAAACGAAAACTATAATAAATACAAATATTAACAATTCAAATGTAGTCAAAAAGTTAACAATGTACAACTAAGAAGATCAAGAGGAACAAGGTGCAAGTATATACATGGAGGGATTTTCACAAACACACAAAACATTCAAAATGGATCTTACAGTGGGTAATTCCATTATAGGATTCTTCAACAGTGTGCTTCCACAACTCACTCTAGAGATAGAATCCCATAGCGATCCCTTTGCTCTTAACTCATCAAGCTAACATCCAATAGCTAACAAATCTGAATTCAGTCAGCTGTTAAGATTTACTATTTGAAAGGTATAAGAATATTATTAGAAACCTTTGCATAAATTCATGTTATAGATTTAGAAAATAAATCAATGTCCCTTTATAAAACTGGGGTCCTTTACAAAAATATCATAAGCAAACTTACGTAAATCTCTCAAGTATTGTTTAACGGTGATTAACTTATGGTTATTCACACAGTGAATAAAAGTTGCCAAATATCAGAGTAATTTTATCTTTTTAACCAAATGATGTAAAATTTTTGTCTCCAACCCTTAGAACTGTAAATGAAAAATGGTTATAACATAAGATAGGGTGGTTGAATGCAACCACTACGAAGTGATGGTTGTGATTTCTAACATTCATTTAGTGGCATCCACTATTTTAAGGAATGATAAAGAACGTTATGTTTTCAAATATACTATCCGGAAAATAGAGGAATTATTTCAGACGAAAGGTTAAGGTGATATTTTGCTTGCTATCCGCGCTTTAGGATGATCACTAGAGTGAAAATTTGACTTGTTTAAATTATGTAGTCAGCCACACTCTTCTTGGAGAGGCTATTTGAACTTCTGCTTGTCGATGGCATTCTCTGAAGGTGATTTTGAGAAAGGGAAGAAGCTCTTCGTTCAAAGATGTGGACAGTGTCACACCGTTGAGAAAGGTGGTCCACACAAAGTAGGACCCAATCTAAATGGTTTGTTTGGACGTAAAACTGGTCAAGCTCCTGGGTATACCTACACTGCTGCCAACATTAGTAAAGGTAATCTCCAAAAGCCTTTGTTTGTTGTTATTTTTTACTTCACTTCAATAGAAAGATAAAAGTGAATAAGTCATTGGTTAAGTTTACAGGAATCATAGATCGCAGAGACAGATCAACAGTTTCCCACAACATGTGGATTCATCAACGAAACAAACAGAAAGTTTCTTGAGTCTGAACCTTATCGATAGGTGCGTTGCTAGCTTTCGCAAGCTTCAACAGCTACCATATAATCAATTATTCGTCACAATCGTATTAGTTCAGTAATCTCAAAAGGTGACTTGTTCGCATAAGGGGGTTCAGATTTTTCACTCGAGACATGGACAATTCCAAATCATTATCGAATTTTCCGTCACATAGCATCTTGTTATGAAAATCCATTCTTTTTCACCACCACTAAAATACTACTTTCTTGCTAACCTTCCTAATTTCTATCCATTTATCCAAATTGTATCAACTTTGACTAATGCATATCTGTGATCGTTTTGACCTTAAGTACGACTGCCCCCTGGGATTATGTCTATGGAACTGAGTTCGCTATTCCTCGACATGTAGTGGAACAAGTAGATTTTTTTTGGGGTGATATCTTCGGGCTAGATACGCTTCATCCAGAATGATATGGTCCAGTGACCACTCGTGTCGTAGGATAGAAACTATAGGTGGTCCTATTGCGGTCCTGATATCTCAGCTTAAATATTTCAACTTTTATGTTGACATGGTTTCTTTCGTCTTTATTCCATTCCAAACGTAACTTCCGATGTCTAAATTTTGCATGACTTTATTTTATTTTATTTAAACACCAAATGAATATGCGCCACACAAATCATTCGTTTTGTGTGAAAGCTAAGATACTCTCCGGGTGCCCACACCGAAGCAGATGGTTCTCCTAGAGGGCCACGCCCAAGCCTTTGACCTAAAGGTCTAATCCACAAGGCAGTGGAGCAACGTAAGGAGATGCAGTCCCATGGTAGCTGGTGACCAACTATACGTTCGTACGCCATTTATTCCCTCAGGATTCTGGAGCCCATATGCACTATCAGTTTGTAATCAGGGTTTTCCAACTCCCGTGTTCAACTCCGTATCCACCGACCCAGTTGAAGCGCCGGACATACGCTATTCGTCCTCTTAATATTGTAAACACCGCCGCGAGAAGGCAGTGAGTAGGACTTCCCTGACAGTGGTTGTATGCATGTGGACATGTGAGAGCATTTTGAGAGGGAGAATTGACTCCCCACTTTCGGCCGTACTAGGGCATGACTTCCTAATCATGATATAATATTTTCTTTACCGAATTCTAATCTCCTGATTCCTCGTTGTCTCTTTTTTCTCTTCCCAAAGTTATTTCACTGGATTGTACTCTTTAAATAACATCTACAAACCCTACTCTTTCCGATTACTGCTTATACTCTTACTACCTCTCCCACCACGGGATTTGAATCGACAACTTCTCTGTGCTAATGTGGTATGGCAACTCGAACTGATGTACGTACGTACGAAGTTCTACGTTGTTACTGACTGACTGTTAAAACTGCCCTTTGATTGATGATGCCTAATTACTTGTATTTTATACACCCATTCGCTGATCCAACAGATTTTATTCTTATGACTTCTAGTTACTAGTACATTATGTCCGTCTAGGCTGTGTATAAAAGATGTAAGTGCGATTGAAAAATTACCTTGATTTAGGAAATTATTCACTAGTGGTAGCAAGCTATTACGTACTATAACAATCTTCTGTCCACCAACCTGAACAAACATTTATCGTCAGTCTCCAAAGATTATCTGTGTTTTACGAATAACTGGTAATTTTCACTTATGCAAACTTGTGAGAGATTTTTTACTAACAATATTATTATCGCATAAACCATCAATACGGTTGCTAATTCATTTAATATTTAATAAAGTAAGTCAAATATTTAAGGTGTAAATATGCTTTTTGCTTCTTTATTTCATGAACCACTATTTCCACTTATATTATCAATTCTTTCATTATTGCTTAGGCATCATATGGAATGAGCAGACTCTATTTGAATATTTGGAAAATCCAAAAAAGTATATCCCTGGTACAAAAATGGTGTTTGCTGGTCTAAAGAAGGAAGCTGATCGCAATGATATTATTTCCTACCTTAAAGAAGCAACAAAATGAGAATATTCTAAATATCTAACTCCTAGATTTAACTTCGTTGTAGCAGTTCTTTAATTAACTAAATGTGTATAGAAACATAAAACCTGAGCTTCCAAGTACGTGAAAATGAATACTCTTGGCTGTGTATTTCTGATCTATTCTGAGGTCAATATACTATGATAATTCAGTTTCTGAGATTTTTGTAAAATTAATACTAGTGCAAACATATTAACATAATAATGAACTGTTCATCTAATTTCTTCCGTGTATTCGGATATAATAAGCTTCAAATGTCCTTATTGCTATTATACTGTTTGCCAATAGTTTCCGTTTGTTTTCAGTCACTGCTCAAACTAATTCCTAGTGGAATAATAGCTTGGTGGTGGAATTGATTGCAGCCATATAGTCTCAGGTTCACATACTACTTTTGTTTAGGTTGTCGGCGGTTATGTTTCTCAGTTTAAGCTTAAATAAGTTTTAGTTATGCTTATTCGCTTCACAATAAATTTCGAGTAAGAATAATTCATCTCATAGACTAAAATCAGCAGAAAAAGTGGTCCTCCTGACAAAACAACTGGTTGCAGCAACAAGAGGGATATAAATCTGTATTCTGACATACATCCTACCGAACTTAGTATGACGGCATATTTAATTCGTTTGCTTTTGCCATTATAAAACAAATTTAAATCTGTTGTTTGAAATAATAGTTCTATGTAAATCAGGTGAAAGGGCTTACCTTTAATTACAGTTTTAGGTAGCTTTTATATTTACACACACTTCTCACAATTTGAGTTGTACGTCCCCATTATTTACTATTGGTCACTCTCATTCATCTACTTCGGATATAATTGATAAAAAGATGGGTTTCTAAAGTAGAATCTCTGTCGACATTCAGATCAGTATGTACTTCGAATAGGACTTTCTGGGTCGAATAGCCACTCGCAAAATACTTACCAGATGTTCATGATGTGATTTCATTAAACCAATATGCCTCGTCATTTTTAACTCCACGTCGAAATAAGACTTTTATTGATTTTTATATGTTCATAATCTCAGGTAATCTTAAAGTAATTCATTAGGATTTTAGACGGTTTAGTCTGTAGAAGTAATCATGATGGACAAAGTAGAGTCTATACAGGTCTCTACGAGTCACAACCAACAACTGAGTTTATGTGGGTATTTTTGAGTCTGTTTTATGTGTTCTTACGAAATAGCCCATGCGTTGAGGAGTAATTCTTAAACAGAAGTGTGAATTGAACTGGAAAATCCAAAACTAAACATATATACTTTCCTAACAGAGCGATCAGTTAAATTACCTACTTATTAGCTTATCAAGGCATTCAGCAAATTTTGCAATTGTTTCTAGAATAGACCTACTGTCTTTCTAAACTCACATAGATGATTGATTGAAGATGTAAATAAATAAATATCAAAAAATCTAAATTGGATAAAGATATTACGATGTACTGAAGGACTTGGATTTCTGATCTAACCTTCGTCGATTCTACTGCATAGAAAGAATTTTAACTGGTTTAGTAAATAAGCACTTTCGTCTAGATTTTAACGAGTAGTTTCACAGTATTTGGGCGCCGAGTTAATGTGAGACATTGAAGAGGAAAAATGTATTTGTAAAATCTCAGCAAAAGAATTTGAAGTAAATCCAACTTTTCGCCTGGCAATCTGGTCCAAGCTTTTTCAAAGAAAGTATAATCAAACGTCAAAATCACCGAATATAAATAGGTACATGGTTCTCTGGTTTACCAGAGAAAGGCTTGGACCAGATTGCCAAGCAAATTCTTTCGCTGAGATTTTACAAATACATTCTTCCTCTTTAACTGGTTTGATATCTTGAAAAAATAATGTAAGTATCGTCAAGCCTTAAAGACATTTCAAGTGCTTGCTTCTATGGAGCCCTACTTGGGCAAATTACCCTTTTAACACTTAGTGGCTTTTGTTGTACCTCTAGCAAATATCAGTTGGTGGAAAAATTGCTCAACTAAATAGGAATATCTAATTATGTGTGTAGTTTCAAAATAATCAACCTAAACATTTAAACTAGCTTAGATCAATTACACCAATTTATCTATATTTAACCGTACGACTAAATAAGTTAAACCTCATACAATCCGTGAATGATGCGGATCAAATATTGGGATGAAAAGGTTTCAAAAGGATTGCGATGATCAAATAATCTGTTACTTAACATAAGTCATGTTAGTAGAGAACAAAGTACAGTTGTAACCTTTTGTAAATATTGGTTTCCTCCTACTGTTGGGATCTTATATAGTCTCAATCTAGAAAAGGGCTATCGAATGGTAGTTAAGTGATGTCGAATATGTATTCTAACAGCTATATTTTTGCGTTTCTATTGCGTAACGTCTCTTATGGAGCTATGAACAGCTTACCATTGGTATTTTGACAACTGGCTAAAGAGTTAGAGCCACTTTAAAATAACAATCTGTAATGAAGTATACTCTGATCACTATTATCTATAGGGTTCAGGAAAGTTCACTTTTTGGTGAGCAAACAACGCTGAAAGGTTCACAGGACTTCCCATAAAAGTAGTCAAAAAGTTCCCGGACTTTCATTTCAAAACGTTTTTCATCAAATGAATTTTGTTCTCTTGATGTTACACTCGTGAAACCTAGGTCGGTTTATTAGTTTCAGAATGTATAATAATATAATATCCGAATTTACATTTCCATACTGAGGTAAGAAATTGATGAGAATTCCAAGTAAACCGTGTTCCCACTAGTCTCAACTATTGTACGCTGGTCACAAATTCTTCATACTCTTTGTAAAGCAGATAGAATATGGCTACCGGTAGGTTTCGTCCCGCTTGGGGCTCATCGGCTGAATGTATCTGCATTCGTGTGCTGATCTTCATATCGGGACATAAAGTCAGTACCTTTCTCTTCACAACTTGCGAAATAATGGTTATATCAAGGTAATCGGCACTGGGTCCACATATGTCAACTAAAACTGAACAGAATCCAGTCGAAAATATCAACAACCAGATAGTTCAACCCTTTACGAATGAAATTGACTGTTTTGTGTTACTTTTCCTATAACTATACGCCACATGCTTTGAATATCTGCAGCCGGATTAGTGACTTGATTCTCCCCATAACACGTTTAACAAACACTAACTGTTTGGATGTAAGGATGATTGATTAAGATTGCAATTTGAAAAAAAATGTTTATCCTAAAGCAACAAAATGTTGGTTGCATCAGTTGTGATTCTGTCAATAGGAGATATTTATTTGCTAGTATGCACTCGTTGATATTAGTTAGTTTTAATGTCTTAGATGCTAGTACAAATTAGTTTTTCGCTATACACACCAAAGTACATTCGATTGCCACCTCGATTTTGAAAATGCCAGAGATCCCAGCAAAAAAGATATTTCTTGGAGTTACTTCCCAATATGATAGATTCTTCCAGGTAATAAATCATGTGCACACTAGTGAATCAACTACTTGAGAAAATTACCAGAGAACACCTATCTTAAAAGTTATCATACCACAAAATATTCCAAATACTGATGTATTATGTGTCATTTTGAAAATTTTGTCAGATATACTCAAGGTAAACCGTGAAGTGTATCAAACATATGAAAGTGGTCATATAAGGACCAATTAAAGTAATAATAAACGACAAATAGAAACATACGATGGTGAGTCACGCGAAGTATTAATTTAGTGGTCAAAGATTCAGACTCTGCTCAACTTTCTTGGATCTTGAGAACCAGAAAGGTTCACTAACCTTAACAGATAGAAGGTATGATCCAACTTCCGAGCAAATTACCCTGTACTTCACAAAAGAACAACGTTGTATCATTATAGCTTTACATGTTCAGAAACAATTATCCGAATACATTTATAGGTATTTGATAACTATTTAATGTTAATAAACTAGTTCTGAATGAATATTTTTGGTTTCTGGACAACTGACTAGTAAAATCTGTCCTTGTGATGCTGTATTAAGTGAATATTCATTCCAGATAAGCAAGGACTTGTTGATAGGTTGGGGCGAACAACACTGGAACAAAGCAAATCGACCCACATTCACTGTACTAAATAAATCTTATTTATTTAAACCCATAAATAATGGTACGAAGTAGCGCCGAAAAAATTCTGAGACACAATAGAACAATGAGACCATAAAGAGATAGAAGGCATGATGAAGAAAAGGCAAGTGAATGGTTGTAAAAAAATAATGGAAGAAGCAGTTCAGTTAAGAGAAGTTCCTCTCACTTATACGAAGTTAGATGAAGGTTACAACAGGACCACCAATGGCTTTTATCCTGAGACTTTTCTGAAAACATCTCAAGCCACTGTGCTACACTAGAACCCCAACCAGGGAGTCATGGATGTCTGACATATGCCAGTTATGTACAATTGTCTTTCATACCACGGTACTGTCATAAACTGACCACCGCTTTTTCGAACCAGTCTCAGCATCAGAAAATAATGTTTTGATATATATGCATGCATATCCTCTAAACCATCGAAATAGGTTGTGAAGATCATAAACAATCAACAATTCGGGAAAAAAACAAGTCTTTATCGAGAAGCTCATTAAACCAATAGAAAATAAATGAATGCTCCTCACAATTAACGTGAATTTACATTTCGGTGTACTTATATAAGAAAGTATATAGGTAGGACTGAGAAAAGAAGTCCTGAAAATAATCCTAGAAACCAAATTTCACAATAAAACAAAGTCCTCACAAATAAAATACACAGGTCCTTAGTGTACAGTCGACACAATATGGTTATTTCATAGATAATTAAAAAAAGCAATGAGTACTAGATTTATCTCACTTCAAAGAATCTTTTTCAATCAAGAGTACACTATAATTTATCTATATGAATGAAAGAATGATAAGCTGATATTGTAAAAGAAGAAAAGTTACTAAAATAAGCTAACTATAACATAATCTTTTGTTTTTACCGACTCAGAAACTTTCATTCACTCGATAAAATTTATAGCACTTTTGGTAAGTTTATAATTTATGGACGAACCAATCAGGTCTCGGATTTTGGTGCGAAATTCACCCATTCATTTGGCTAAATAGGGTTTTGGCATTATAGCTGATGTTAGTTCGTGATGAAAACTCTAAATCTAATTCATAACCCTAACCATCATTTATTATTTTATTTTATTTGAACACATAAATATTGGTACAAGAGAGCGCCAATATATATGCGCCACACAAAACAATGAGAATTCGAAGAGAAATAATAAAAAAAACTAGGGAGCGCAAAAGAAAAAGAGAACAATGACGAAGAGATTGGAGTAAGGTAGTGTGGTAGTAACGACGGAACGAAAAGGTACAATCAGAAGAAATCTTTCAGGTAAGGGAGACGCAACCACTTTTTATGAAGAAAGTAAAAGAAGGTTACAGCAGGATCGCCACTGGCTTCTATTCTGAGCCATATCTGATAACGTCTCTAGCCACTGTGTAGCACCATCTCTCGGACCCCAACCAGGGAGTCGTGAAGGACCAACACAAGCCAGTCCTTTGCAGCTTTCTTTCATACCACGACACCATGTCATGCACTGACCACCTCTCCGCTTCTTCCAACCAGTCCCAGAGTCGGCAAATAATGCACGACGTGGAATTCTCTGGGACGACATTCGGAGAACATGTCCAAGCCACCGAAGTCGGTGTTTCAAGATGGTGACACCAATTGAATTATCATCTCTGTGCCCGAACACA